CTAAAACTGTAGTATTGTAAATAATCTCCAATTGAACAAAAGAAAGGTGATTGCTTTAAGAACCACATGCTTAATTCTCAGGTAATTCATTCATTTTTAATTTTTCTATTTCAAAAAATTCTTGCCATATATATTAGTTTAATTTGAACTTTTCACTGTAGTTAGACCAAGCAAGCAAGGAGACAACCATACAAAGTATAAATATAATAGGTTAATTAGATAATAATAATTTTTCAGAGCTTCGAGAGAGTCATAGGTTACTTCCTTTTTTCATTTGGGATCTCTCAGATGTAATGTGACTTTCTTCTGAGTTTCCTGTTCAATTCCAAAGTTATCAATAAATATTTAATTACTAAGTGAAAAATAATACATGCACATGATTTAAAAAGTCAAATTATGCAGATATATATAAAATGAAATAGAGATATTTCTTTTCTTCATTCACTGTCTCCACCTCATCTCTTAGGCCCTTTCTTCATAGTAACCACTGGTAATAGTTTCCCATGATTCATTCTCAATAAAAATAGTTCAGTCATGTGTGCACATGTAAGTATAATTTTACTTTTTTTCTATTTTCAATTAATTCATGTTCTTTGTGTATATTATTTTGCTGAAAGACATATTTTGGGTAGGAAATTCATTTGTCTTACTCACCATTTTCTATCTAGCTCCTATAATGGTGTCTGGCACATAATATATTGGTGCTTAACAAACACCTATTGAAAGAATCTTCCACACAGTGTATATTTCTTACATTATATTTGACAGGTTTTCTATTGATGAACATTTATATTAGGTCTGTTTTTTCTGCTAGTCATCTGTCTATCTGTCCATCTAACTGTCCAGCACATATGAACTGAGTACTTTTACTGTATGGCAAACATCCATCTAAGGATACAGATGAAGGAGAAAACCAGGGGTCCTACTTTTATGTAACATTGCTTGTACATAGTTGGCTGAGATATATCAAAAACAATGAAATAAACTCCAAACAAAGTTTCCTCAAGGCAGTAGCATAGCTAATGCGATGAGAAAGAAATATCTACTTTCTATTTTACAGGCAAAACCTTTTTAAAGAGATCATTTTTGAGCAAGGCCTAAAATGATAAGAAAAAATGGTTTAGAGATCTAGAAAAGATGATTCTGGGCAGAGGGAATAGTAAGTACAAAAGTTCTGAGGCAAGAAAAAGCTTAGTGAGTTCAGTGAACAGAAAAGAGTTCAGTATGACTAAAGCAAGAGAAATACTGCTTTAATGAGTATCTTTGTGTGTTAAATATGTTGTGCACATTTTTCTAAGTATTTTTAGTAGTGGGACTGAGGGATTAAATAGTACATGTAGTTTACAATTTTGAGAGCTGAGGTGTGGGACTACTCTTATCCCTTATCTTTTCTTTTTAAGCCTCCTCTTGCTTTCCTGGGCTCTGAGGGGCTGGGACTGTCTAGAGCTCGGTAGGCAGTGAGTGAGCCATGATGTGGGGCACAGTGAGGGGGATTCTTTTGGAGAGAGAACGTACCAGGGACTGTGAATGTTTCAGAGACTTTTGTCTATCAAGATGAAAATCCAGCAATAGGACATATCTCTATATTGTTTATGTTGAGTTATGCGGTAAAATATTTGCCTCCCCTTTGGCCTTTTATGAAATTAATTCAATGCAGAAATTATCAACATTTCTCAATCTAGGAAATGTGAAATTTGGAACTTCTAAGAGTTATAGTTGGATATGAGGCAGTATTATAAAAGATTCCTAGTTTGACATTGTTGAATTCAATTTACACGAATCTAGTTGGACACCATTGGGTTCAATTTACACAAATTTCTGATGAAAATAAGGAGGCATTAGGAAAAGAAAATGCCATGAACGAGAGTCAGCCATTGTGACTTTGTGGAAAGTGGTAGGAATGACATCTCATACTGGAAATAAATTTTAAAAATCCTGTGTTGTTACATTGGGGAGTGAAATCCCATTTTTGAATGCCTCTCTATTAATTAATCTTTAGTTAATCTAAAACTAAAGATATTTAATTTTAAAAGGTAAATGGCAGGAATCACCTATAAATTTTTAGGCAAATTGGAAATTTTAGGCTTGGTCAAAGAACAAATTTTGTTTCATGTGGTGTTTTACTATTAAGTAAACTAAGGGATTCAAGTCACATTTGAGAGCATAGACCATTTTGTTTAAAGTTTTTCAATCTACATTTTTGGAAAAGATAAGGTTACAAAATTTTGGCAGATATATTCATATTCTCATGTACTTATGGAGAGGTGGGAGTATGTGATTTCCTTAATAATTATTTTTTTTTGTTTTTCTACATAACAAGACTCACTTCCTTCAAGAATTAAAAACAAGCTGGAATGAGGTCAGGAATCTGTGATGGAGAAGATTTTAATTTAATAGATGCTAATATGATATGTCAGTTATATTAAAGATTTTCTTTTTTAACATGGGTAATATTTTTTCCACAACACTTAATAAGCAAACTTTAGTTGGAAATCAGTTTTACTTTGTTACTTGAACCTGGTATATATTAATAATGGTAAAGCAGTTAACTTATGTTTTGTCTATGTTGTGTAATAAGTTGGCATTTTGATTAAGAAGCCTAATTTATCTGATGTCTACTATAAAATCATCACACTAGTTTAAATGTGAATGTGTAATTTTTTATTAAAACAAGTTATTGATATCAAATCCTTAAGGTGAGTGTAAGAAAACAATTAAGTATTTTATTAGTTTCAGTCCTTCATCCTAAAATGAATAGAGGTATAAAATATGTTGCATGTTTACAGAAATCTTTTATTCCTTTTACAGTATGTTGATACATAAGTTGTAGTTACTTGACTCATTAGAACATCTAGTTTTTGCTTGACAATGTGCAAATGTACCATTAAATCTGTTTTTTAAGATTTTTCCAGTTTAATGTTAGAATCCAAATTCATAAAGAGTTGGAAAAATGAGATGTCTGAGCTATAGGATTCACAGGGATTTCATATGAAGCCTATTTAATCAGGATAACACTGTTATTAATATTCATAATGTCAGCTGGAACACAAATGACAGACTATGGAGCCTAAAAATTTTACTTGGTGAATTTATTAAAAGTAGCTTAAAAAATTAATGGAATTTAAGTTAGTGAATATGAAAATCTTGTGTTAGCACAAAAAAATCTCTATTAGAACTTCCTTTAAGATTATTTTGCATTGATGTCTTTTGACAGATTTCATTGGTACTTAAAGAAGAAAGATGCACGAATGGTCATTTAATAGGATTTAAACACATTGGCACATTAATTTTTACATGAATAATAAGTACTTTCCAAAAGCAATTAACTTACAGTGTACAAGATATGAATTGAAAAATAAGACTGTGACATCAAGGGCAAAGCAAATGTGCTGTACATGTTAAACTTAGTGGCAGGACTTTTTAATATTTTGATTTATTTGTATAGTTTGCATAGGATATGACTTAGAATATAGTTATTTTAATGCTTTAGAAAGAGTATTAGAAAGGCAGTAATGCTCTCTGTCTCTCCCCAAAATATTAGTAATGTTAAACATTGTCTTCTGTAAGTACCATTTGCATTTACTGGAGAATTAAACATTTGTTGTGTTATTAGTAATATTTGAGAATATGTTCAATTTTACATAAAGTCAAAGAGATGATTCTGATTGGGTTTAGTGCTACAAATACATGTGTTAGCACAGACTCATTGGTTACCACATAACCTAAATGTATAATAAATAAGCTTCTTAAAGTTCAGTGTGAGAAGTTTAGTAAGAACCATCTATGTTGTATACTAGTAAATTTGTTCTGTATTTTAGCTTAATAAAGTAAAATGTTGGGGATGGCTTTTCCTTATGTTTTAAAATATGCTTATAATATTATATTAGAGTTACAGTTTTATTTTTATTACTGAAGTTCATTCAAAACAATTACTTTTAGAACATATGTACAATCTCAATAACAAATATTTTGTTTTATACTTTTCAGAGATTATTTGTCGAGAATTTTTTTTTTATTTTTCAAATACACCTGTTCAAAGCATAGTATAGTTATTATCTGTAACAGTTCACTTAGGGTTCACCAATGAGAAAATACAGGCATTGACCTGGCAGTCCAGATGGGTACTGAAAGTTTCACTTGCTATCTGTCATGCTACATATGAATGATTAGGTTCATTAGACATATAGGAATACCCTGGTATGTTTTGCAACCCATATTCAGAGTTTGAATGGAAAAAGCTTTAATTACCAATGTATGTAGAAATTATGACAATATAATGCATATGTTATTTTTTTGTATAAGGAGTTAAATCAAAATGATATATTGGCCATTATTATTTCTTTTAGTGGCTTTTTAAAAATTAGATTTTGGGCGGGGGAGGGGGATGGTTTTGTTTTCAGCTCTGAGATATTCACTTATATTACCAGCAGAGGGCAGCATTTTTCTATGTCAGCTTCATGAAAAGAATTAGCCCTGCTTAGACTGTCAATGTTTCTTGTAATTACTCCCAGTATATTTGTTGCTTGCTTATGAATTAACTTGCATTTATGGAACTAAATCATTCCAATCATTTAATTACACCTGAGGAGCTGAACTATAATTGCTTGCTTCCAACTAGGATCTGATATGGCTTGAGCAGTATTAATTTGGTGTTTACTTTTCTGAGTGCTAAAAGCATTAAAATGATTGTGCAATGGGATTACATTTTACTAATTGCTGGCATTCATTAGCTGGGTAAATGATGAGGAAGAGTGACTGTATATTACAGAGGGATAAAATTATGGTTTTAAATAGTATATTACTAAGCACATTAAGGCCTGTAAGACATGTTTTAAAATACTCCAGAGGTTATTAAAGACTGTATTTTCTACATGTCTTGCTATATGAATCTCTTATTAAAAGACTGCAATTATTATTAACCTTTTTGGGCAATATGTAGGGGAATGGCTTCATTGACTAGAACATATTTCTTTGATATTAATAACTTCCTATATTTTCAGCTAATCCAAAAGTAAATGAGGAACTTAGAAAACGATTGCCAACTCCAGATCAACATATTTAGAGAAAATTGGAAAAGGAGAAGCTTACTACAGCTTTATTTGAGAACTTTTTAAAGAATGCAGAGTTCTAGCTGTGAGGTAAATCTAATTTCATTCTCCCTAAAAGCATGCACAAAAAAATACTTGCGTAGCTTTTATCATGTTTATTGTGAAATCAAATGCAAGAAAGAAATGCTAATAATTCCAAAAGTTAATGCTAGTCTTTATGTTTTTTTTAAAGAAGTCAGAAAAGCATTTTAAAATGATTTTTACAAGTACGTATTTTATAGGAAAATATACATTGTAAATTTAAATTAATTTGAAATATTTGGTGTGAAGTGTGGGGCAAATAGACTAGAAATTTTATTTTTGTTAAATTATTGAAGTTATAATTGGAGAAGACTTAAAAAAATTAAATGGTTCTCTAACCAAATGAGCAAGAATGTCTAGAAGCTTAACCAAACTCTATTTACTTAAATTTAAGTGTGAAGGAAAGAACCTTTTTCTGAGAAAAAAGATTTAATTTTACCTGTTGAAATGCACAGTTAATTATCCCATTATAAATGTTTTAGAAAACCATTTATCCTGTAAATTCTCTGTTAAATAAAGGTAAGGCTTAGGTGTGTTCTGATATATTGTTTTAAGTTTATTTATCTAGAGTTGGCTTTATTTTAGCTTCAGCTCTTGGAGCAAAACCCAGAGACATTGCCAGAGCAAACAAGAACAGAAGTACACATGGAGGACTGGTCAAAAGGTAAGGACTTTTAAGGTATTAATACCAAACCCCAGGTGTTGTGCTAGTTCAAGGCACTGAATGAAGTGTGTTTGTTCTAACCAATATATTAGACGGAGCAGACAAATACACACGCACAAGCACCCACACACACAAAGACGGAGGCACACACAAAGGGACCCACATTCTGCAAAAGAGGCACAAAGAATGACACACAGAGAAAGAGATATTGAGGGAAGAAAGAGGGAGACAGACACACAAAGAGAAAAAACACACAGACACACAAAGTAGTGGAGATTGAGAGAATGGCTGTGAGAGAGGTGCATACAGTGAGGTGCCCTCAGAGAAAAACACAAACAGAAAGAGAAATGCAGACATAGCAAGAGAAACACTACACTCAAGTAGGGAGACAGAGAAAGACATACATGTATTGATATACACACAAAGACACGCACACTGAGACTCAGAGAAACCAAAGTAAGAGACAGTGAGAAACCAAGACATACAATGAGAGAGAGTGAAGATGCTAAGAGACGGGGGGGCATGTGTATACACAAAGGCACATTCAGGGAAAGACACACACAGAGGCGGCAAGAGACATAGAAGATACACACATATATACAGAGAGAGAGAGACAGGTACAAACAGAGAAACCGACCAAGACACATACAGATGCAGAGACACATGTAGAGACACGTGCACACTCAGAAAGAGACAGCCACAGAGATGTGGTGTCAGAGGGACCAGAGAGAATCTGAGCGACAGAGACATGCAGAGATATGCAGGTGGAGACAGAGAAAGACTCTCGAAGACAGACAGAGGCAGAGAGAAAAAGATGCACACATATGCATAGGCAGAGGGAGGTAACAGTCAGGCGTGGAAACACAATTTGAAAGACAGACTGAGAAGGCCTGAAAGAGAGAGAGAAAGAAATAAAAAGGGTGCATCTGTCTGTCTATAGAGCAAAATAAAGCTATAAAGAGGGAGGTTTTTAAAATGTTAGGTTTTTAATTGAGGTTTTTTTAATAGTAAAATGTTGCAAATCTGGAATCCGTATGAAATGGATACAGAATAGAGTATCACATGTACCCGAAAGCTTAAACCTTATGGGCATTGTTTTATTTCCTCTCATTTTTAATGGAAAAAATAGGATTGTTACCAACACATTACACGTCTCTCTCTCTCTCTCTCTCTCTTTGATTCCCCTTTCCCAACAGGAAAACCTTTTTCACCATATATCAATTGTTACCTTTTTCATAAAGTTAAAGACCATTTTGGGAGATTTTGAGTATCCCTTTTTCTGATTTCTACATTTGTTTTTGATTTACATACTGTTATAAATTTTCTTGCAGTTTACGCCTACCATTAGCAACTTTTCTCTTGTTATGTGACTTTAGGTTACCTGTTATGAAGTTAGAATCCTGATAACTGAATTGTTTAAAAGTTATATCAAGTAAGGTAGTTAAAGGTTTTTAATATAAAATTAAATGTTTTAGTGAATGGACTTTGTGATACTTAATGTTGGTCTACTCTCTATATTCAAGTTTGTGATAAGGGTATTTATATGTGAAGCTGGGAACTAATTTATTGTAGCTGTTTTTATTCATTTATACAAATAAACAAGCAAACAGTCTTCTTTAAAGAACTCAAAGCAGTTTACTTAATTTATGTACAAAATTTAAAAAAGAGGAAGTAAGTAATGATGTCCCTGTTGTTTATGTTCCCTATTTGGAGGTCACATTGCTGTGAAAAGTCATGTGCAAATTACCAACAAACAGATCTTTAAGACAAAGGAATTATTTTTAATATATCTAGAGAGAGAGAGGCTATGGAGGAAATTCTTCTCGTAAATGTAGAATAAGCATAAAAGGTGCAAGGGAAGGGAGCTGCTGAAGCTCTAGGACTCTTAGGAAAAGGAAGGTTTTAGGGCTGAAGATATGGCTGCATAGTTTGCACCAAACAGACCACAGCAGATGTGACCAAACCATCATTAAGAAGATTTTCATTTTTATAAGCATGTTTTTGACATTGGAGATAGGAATAAGACAATTATATATTTTACAAAGGGCCTGTAATGAAACATTATAAAGATATAAAATTAAACAGGGAAATGTAGTGTCTTTTGAGTAGAGTGATAACTGATGTGTTTAAACCAGTGAAGTCTACATGGTCATTTCCTTGATATCAAGGGTCATGGGATTTATCATAAAGCACAATTGCTTCATAATGCTCTTATGCAAATGTTCAAGGTCTACTCTCATAGTTATTTAAGTTTTTTACTTATTTTTGAAAAATTGAGCTAAATTAAAAATGTACTAAACAAATTTGTTTTTGTGTCATCTACAAATATCATTATAAGAAGTGCAAAAGTGGTTAGTCTTTTCCTAGTTTTATTGTAAAAACATTGCTGAAATATTTGGAGTCAAAGAATCGATGAGGTATATAATGTTAACAGATATGATTTAATATTTTTCTTTGGTTTTGTCATTAAAGATAGTTTGGAAAATGTGAAGCTGAAATGGGTAGGTAGGATGGGTGAAGACATCTACAAAACATACCCAGGTTTCTTTAAGTAGTTAAAAAAGCAGACCAGACTGAATGAAATTTTGAGCTGATGGGAGCAATATGTCTGTGAATAAATGCGTGTTGCCAGGTGAGCATTAGTAACATCTTGCTTAAGAAGTAAATCATGTTTGGCCTTTTCGTGAAAATTTTGTTTTTCAAGATTATTTTTTCCTGCTCCTTAAGAAAAAAATGAAAAGTTATAATCAAAGTATCTATGTAAAGTCAGCTTTCAGTAAGAATGATTTGTTAATGTGATTGGTTGTTTAGCCCTTTTTAGCATTTACTCATTTACTTACCTGTATAAGAAAAAAGGCATGGGGGTCAAAAATCTCTTATGCATAATTAATTGAAATAGTACAAAAATTTTGTGCATATTTTTGATACTAAATTTTGGGGTCTTTTATTAAGTTAGCAGGAACATACTTGTTTTAACTATTCAACAATCCACTGAAAATAGCTCGCATATTACTTATGAATAAATGTGTATGCTATAAGTATACATACCTACACTAATATAGGTAAATATGAGGCCTGGATGCTAGTTAAATATAGAATATTATAAAACATATTTAAGTTTAGAACCTTTAGGGGTCAGTGTTCCCTAAGAAAGGTTAAAAAAGGTTATTATGCCTACCCAAATTAAATATTAAGTCTGCTCTATTTTAAATATTTCTTGCCAATTGAAGGTAAGAATTATACAGCTTGAACAAGTTTTAGATAAAACCTTTCAATGTTATGATTTCTTCAAAATTATTTTCAGGTTTTTTATTTTAGGAAATTATATTTAATATGTATTTTATGTACAGAGCAGCTATTTTCACTTAGGTATTATCTCAATTTAAATATAATCATTTTATTACTATTTTCTGTTAAGCTTAAAAAGTAAGCATGATTCTAAATCATGCTCATTTGTAATTTGAGATGAAAAACTGCTTCTAGAACTGCTTACATTAATTGAATCCTTCCATGCTGTATTTTATTGGAGGCTAGCAAATATCAGAAAAAAATCTTATCTTGCTGAATTTAGGTAAAAAGCAAATGGCCTCTTTATTTTAGAATTGAACTAGTGATTACATTTTGCAGCCATTATTCTTATGGTTTTTCTATGAAAATAAATAACTAAAACTAAAACCTAGCAGAAGGTAACTTGTTAAGTGACTTATTCGTTTCTTATTGAGTCAGAATACTGTTTATTTCTGCTTGACATTGGGAACCTGTGTGCTACCATCAATCTCTTCTATTATTGGTTCATTTATCTTTGTCTCTTCAAAGTATATGTTCTTTTACCTTCTGTCCATCTGTTGTTCTGTAATTGAATTATATCTAAAACTATTTTATGATTCACAAACATTTTATAAAAGAAGACATCTGTAGGAAAACATCTAGGATGCTTTTAAATACCGTCCAGGGTTTTTTATGATTATGGTTTTTACAGATCGGAAAAAAAAGACTGTTGGCCTAATCTTGCAGGACCTAAATAAATGGTGGTTGTGGTTGTCATTGTTAATTCATTTCCATTGTGAAAGTAGGTATACAAAAAAAGTTTTAAAGTATTGGGAAACATAAATAACAGTATTCAACATAGTTATTAGTTTTATAAGAAGTCTATTCTCTTCAAATGTAATACTTACACAGCATATCAGAAACTAGATTTTTTTCAAAGTAGCATAGCTCATATTTAGTGTATTTCTATTTCATACAATAGACTATAAAATCAATAATATTTATTTAGGGCAAAATCTAATTTTATTTGTATTGAAATCCCAACTGCAATAAAAATCTTCAGACCTTTTTCTTTGAGCAAGTGTGAATTTAAGGATGCACTTTTTAAATTTTCCGTATGCCACAGAGGAGTTAAAAAATAACTTTCCAGGGGTCTGATTAAATTTATCATTCATTTCCATAGTATCTAACTTGTTAGAGTGCTTGGTGGTTTCTTATATATGATCGTGTAAAATATTTGAGAGAGTGGTTTTAGGGCTACTAGCAGGTAGCCAGCAAGGACTGATGCATTTCAAGAGGAGATGCCAAGGCAACTCTTAAAAGAATGATTGAGATTATACTGTTTTATTTCTAAAAGTTCTCTTATTTTAAATAAGTTTATTAAAGTAAGTTGGATTCTGAGTATCTTTATTTTTAAGCTTGATACGAGTGATTCTAATACTATTGGCCTCTGTAGGAAAGGGGAATGAAAAAACAAAAAAAAAAAAACAGTGTTTACAGCGGCAACTTAGTTTTCTAACTGATTATAAACTTTGTAATGAACTGTATTTTGAGATTTATTATTTTGTACACAAGTCACATTTCTGAATATATGCCAAAAATTATATGTTTGGCAGTTTTTAAAATAGATTTTATTTGTAGAGCAGCTTTAGGTTCACAGCAAAATTAAGCAAAAAGTACAGCGTTCCTGTATGTAGGGTTATATGCCCTACTCCTTAACCCTGCACACGCAC